AGACAGAATATTCTGTATATATATACATACATGCATGCATGTAATGATGTATACGTGTACGTAGTTTGATATGTAATGTCACCCGGTTCTCTCTCTCTCTCTCTCTCTGTCGCAAACATTGCGCAGGTCCATCAACTGCTGACACTTTTTTTCAGAGTTTATCCAATCCACAGAACAGTACGCATATCACACATATCAATAAATATTCGATACATAATGGCACATATAGTGCGATATATACATTTACAATCCACATCACATAGTATACATTATATATATATATATTAGTATGTACATATCTACAGGATATCCTGTGTAATATCTATATATAGTATTAGATATATAGTATACATATCTATACATCTATCAACCATGTCTATACACCGGACTAGATATATACTATTAGATATATACTATACATAGACATATATATTTACATTTATACATTTAGTATACATATCTATATCTATACTATACATCTATCATCTATCACATATATATATATATAGTCCGATGTATATCAACCAGACATTTTTGGTCCAGGCGCATGGTGATCCTGTCCATGGCACTTCGGCAAAAGATGATCCAATGGATGTTTTTTTTTTTTGTTGGGAAAATGGATAGGTTTCTATCATGAAAAAAGTGGGAACACTATGGCGTTCACCATGAAAAAACATGGAGAAAACCATGGAGAACCATGGGAAAACTATTTTTTTCTCTTTTACGATGACATAACGGGGTGTTCCTGTTTAGTTCTTCCCTTAAAGCAAGTCTGGTAAGATTCTCTTCAACCAATTCTAGGATGAATTTATCTAGGTTTCGTCATGGGACCCTGAAAGCTTGTAGGTCCAATGACCATTGCTAAGTATGTAACATACTGTGGATGGAAGAAATCCTGCACTAACTTGGATGGTTGAAACCCTATGAAGAATGGGATAAACCAAGTATCAACTGGTGCAGGATTTCTTCCATCCACAGTATTAGGGGAAGGGAGTATGAGGTGGTATATTCTGACCAGAAAGGAAACACTTATTTTGATCCTGAACTGGGGACCCCTATGCACGCCACTGCTGGATGGGTAATAAAATGTAATCCACCCTGCACACATGGGTAGCGAATCACATGCACAGGTCCTAGGGTCAAAGAACCCAGAACCGCTTTTGGCAATGATTTTTGACGATCTTCAGTTTAGGTTTAAGTATTCAAGTACTTAAACAGATGATGCATATATCGCATATCCCCAACTTGCTGAATTGGTACATTTTTAAGCTGGCGCCTGAGGAGAAAGATGAAGTGGGTGAATGGCGGCTGCAAAGCCTGAAGAAGAAACTCGAGGAGTCGCGGAAATCGCGGGACCTGGGCACCCAATGATCAGGCCTCAACCGTTGAGCGCCGCAGCGCCGCCAGGAGAAGGAAAGAATCAAACAGGAACTCATTGACGCGGGCGAGGATGTGCCCTGGACGGCGCTGGGAGGTGAATGGATGGGAACTCTGCAGGGTGAGGACCGAAAATGGAACTAGCGTAGCTGTGCAAAAAAGTTCAAATCTATACGTATGTATATATATATATGATATTATATGATATACCTATGATTTTACCTATCAGAGTGGTGAGTTCCAGTTCGCAAACGGTTGCTTTACCGGAAAAATGTTGAAGTTAGCCCTGCTGGCGGTGCCTTGGTGTCTTGAGTTATCCCCCGGGGCCATCCCCCTGACTGCCTAGCTCTAAATAGGCAAGGTTCTTAAGGTCCTTTTGCCAGAATGGATTGGTTCAAGATCACACTTTTTGCGTACCACAAATTCTGGGTAAATTATCACGACCTCACTGCGATCGAACCCTGGAATCATGGTTTTTATAGGGAAATCATCCCCAAATGGCCGCACTATTCAGGTTAGTGAATATTATAATTTACCCAGAACCTTGATGGACAATACATGAATTTCCCGAAGAATTTGGCACAATATTTGCCGTTTGCGAAAAGGCAAAAAAGCCACGTGAGCGATGCCTCAAAACTCTGCAAAAAGTGGATGGTTTTGAGGATACCCCAAACTCCAGAATTGTTACCCATTTGATGGCAGCAAATCGGGTATAGCATCCTTTTTTTTTGAATGAACTTACACATTTGTATCGTTAATACGTCGTGAAAATACGGTGAAAACTCATTTTTGTTCATGCTGAAGTCCAGCTTTTGACGCTTAAATCGAGACCCATTTGATGATGAAATTCCGGTTTTGGATGCTCAAATCTCCACAAGATTGTTGATGCCTCAATTGATGCTTCAATCCACATCTTTGAGTGAAAACCAGTTCCACCCCAATTTTTGGAAGTTGAATTGGGAACAAAAATAGATCCATGTGTTTTTTTAATCCCATCTTTAATCCATTTAAAAACACATGGAATCCGTGTTTTGAGGGTGAAAACATGTTGAGGCCACCGTGGGCCACCGTTCTTTTAGGTCCCCGAAGAGGAGGAGGAAGAGCCCGAGGAGCTTCCCCAGCTTCCAGAAGATGAGGAGGACGCTGGTGATGGATGTGGTTGTAGATCTTATATTTTATGGTTATGAATCAATGAATTATTGATGATGGCTAATCATGGCTAATCATATTTTTTATGAATTGACTATTAATGATGGCTATTGTATTTCATAGTTATTGATTATTAATGATGGCTAATCATGATATATCATGGTTATTTTTATGATATACATATTTTTTGTGATATACGCTACACATGGCTTATTCCAATTTTGATTCAGCGGGTGATTTTTGGTTATTATATAATATGTTGGTTTAGCGGGCGGTGTATATGGTTTTATTGTCCTGTTTTGTTGAATATAACCAACGGTCAATCATTACTGAATGCTAGATACACTCATGGCTTAACATGATTTCAATATATTTCAATAGACTTTACCTGACTTATGGCTAAAAACATCATTGTCGCTATTGAATGGGTGATGGCCCACAATCCTCAATTGCAAAACGGTACCGAAGGTAGCCCAAATCTTGGCTCAATCCATATGTATATGTATATGATACTGTATATGTATAAGCGTATGATATGCATATGTATGTATATGTAATATGTAGTATGTAGCAGGTAGCATGTAATATCTCATATGTAACATGTCATATGTCATATGTGATATGTATATCTATATGTATTTGTATATGTTTATAACCTCAAATTTCTACCTTTCTGAAAATAGTTCAACGGTTGAAGATTTGTTCGACACGTTTCGAGCGGTGTTTCTCAGTAATTCTCTTTCCAGGAGCAGCAGGCCCTCTTCGACCAGACAGCCACTGGGCGAGTCGGCAGGAGGGCAACCTCTAAAAAGGTGCCCGAAAAAACATAACACTTTGTGTATATTCTTTGATGATCATTACTAAATTACTGCCACAAAAGCATTTCCAGTACACTTCTTCCTATTATACTACTACATTTATATTCTTATCATCATAATCATTACTAAGTTTTTTTTTGACCTACACTGAACAGTATATGACGAAATTGTATGTCGGATATGATCAAAGGAAGTTTAGGGGGAGAAACTTCCGTTTTACGGACTTTTAGATTGTCAGGGAAAGAGTTAGTCAAAGAAAGAGTTAGCAAAGAAAGAGTTCGTCAGGGAAAGAGTTAGTCAAAGAAAGAGTTAGTGAGGGAAAGAGTTAGTCAAAGAAAGAGTTAGTCAAAGAAAGAGTTAGCAAAGAAACAGTTAGTCAGGGAAAGAGTTAGTCAAAGAAAGAGTTAGTAGTAGTCAAAGAGAGTTAAAGAAACAGTTAGTCAGAGTTAAAGAGTTAGCAAAGAAAGAGTTCGTCAGGGAAAGAGTTAGTCAAAGAAAGAGTTAGTCAAAGAAACAGTTAGTCAGGGAAAGAGTTAGTCAAAGAAAGAGTTAGTGAGGGAAAGAGTTAGTCAAAGAAAGAGTTAGCAAAGAAAGAGTTAGTCAGGGAAAGAGTTAGTCAAAGAAAGAAGTGAGGGAAAGAGTTAGTCAAAGAAAGAGTTAGTGAGGGAAAGAGTTAGTCAAAGAAAGAGTTAGTGAGGGAAAGAGTTAGTCAAAGAAAGAGTTAGCAAAGAAACAATTAGTCAGGGAAAGAGTTAAAGAGTTAGTGAGGGAAAGAGTTAGTCAAAGAAAGAGTTAGTGAGGGAAAGAGTTAGTCAAAGAAAGAGTTAGTCAAAGAAACAGTTAGTCAGGGAAAGAGTTAAAGAGTTAGTGAGGGAAAGAGTTAGCAAAGAAAGAGTTCGTCAGGGAAAGAGTTAGTCAAAGAAAGAGTTAGTGAGGGAAAGAGTTAGTCAAAGAAAGAGTTAGTCAGGATATATGAGGTAGTGAAAGAAAGAGTTAGCAAAGAAACAGTTAGTGAGGGAAAGAGTTAGTCAAAGAAAGAGTTAGTGAGGGAAAGAGTTAGTCAAAGAAAGAGTTAGCAAAGAAACAGTTAGTCAGGGAAAGAGTTAAAGAGTTAGTGTGGAGTGTGAAGTTTCAGTTTGGAGTGCGAAGAGCGCAGTGTGAAGTGTGAAGTGTGAAGTGTGAGGTTTGGAGTGTGAAGGAAGCAGTGAGAAGTGAGAAGTGTGAAGTGTGAAGTGTTAAGTGTGGAGTGTGAGGTGTGGAGTGTGAAGTTTCAGTTTGGAGTGCGAAGAGCGCAGTGTGAAGTGTGAAGTGTGAAGTGTGAGGTTTGGAGTGTGAAGGAAGCAGTGAGAAGTGAGAAGTGTGAAGTGTGAAGTTTGGAGTGTGAAGTTTGAAGTTTGGAGTGCGAAGAGTGCAGTGTGAAGTGTGGAGTGTGGAGTGTGAAGACTTTGCTTCGTCTCTCGCTGAAAAAATCAAACGGTTGTCGAGGGAAGGACACGGTCGGGACAGGGTGTCTTTGAACTATAGGTCATTTATGTTTGGGAAACTTCCGCCGCCGGCTTGCCCGGGTCTATGTTATTACATACTACCATTCCTTATCATTCCTAGAAATCATTCGTATGCCACGACATGGCCAAGGCGGGTGATCAACTGCGCACCATGGCACCCTTCGTGCCACTGAAGTCTCTGGAGTCGCCTCAGAGGTACGTTTCTGGGGCTTTCCAGAAATGGGGATAGCCCAATAGCTGGATGGTTTACCCTCTGGTAAACATACAAAAAACTATTGAAAATGGCCATTTATAGTGGATTTGTCCATTAAACATGGCCATTTTCCATAGCTATGTTAAATTACCAGTGAGTATTTCATGGAACATCCCATCTTTCTAAATGGATGACGACTGGGGGTACCCCCAGCCATCAGGAAATGCCCATGTATTGTTGATAGACGATGTTGATTGTGTCACGGCATATGACCTTTCATGGGGATGGTGAACCAAGCAACCCATTGAAAAGAGGAATAGCTTGTAACCAAGCAGTAGAATGGGATGGGTTAGTTTTGGGGCTACTTTTCATGGCTCAGATCATCATATTCACACATATTCACCATCATATTCACCAAGAAACGTGAGAGGTTGCAGCATCTACCCTCTGGTAATTTAACATAGCTATGGAAAATCACCATTTTTCATGGGAAAATCCACTATAAATGGCCATTTTCAATAGTTTTTTGTATGTTTACCAGGCCGGGTAAGTTCTTATCTTCACCATTGGCATGTCCACTTTGGATCACTTTGGATCAACTTAGGCTGCCGAAGGCATCATGAAAAGGAAACTTCCCAACAGCAGTGGCTTTCTCAAACAAAAGGGGACCCGAAAACACCTCAATCACCTCAAAACTCAAAATTGATCCCTCTAAATGTCAAGTTTGGTGCAACTGTGTGTTTTTCCTTATTTTTGAACCAAAGGATGAAGGTGTAAGCAAGACCAGGGAGCTTTTCTTGGTTAGATCAGTCAAAAATCCCAATTTGCACTGGTAAAATCTAGTTTTTCATTGGTAAAACCTTCCCTGAACTGCTCGATTTCAAGGGGCCTCGAACGGCTCAACCGGCGAAAGCGTTTTGAACGAAACACGCCAGGCTCCCGGCGACAGCCGAGTCGAAGCTGGAGCCGGAAACCATCGATCGTCAGGCCGGAAACCCATGGTGTCTATGTGGATGTATCATCCTGAAGTAGATTCATATCATCGAATATGGGATTTTCAAAGAGATTCCCATAAAAATATTTATTTATTCTTGTTTGACATGTCCATATTATATCAATTCAGGACATTATAAATACATACGTACGTACATACAGTCACATGCCTAAGGGACCATAGGTATACGACCAACAACCGAGGGCGATATTTTCACCAGCAACGCCATCAGAAGTTTGACACTTGACGCGATTGGGACCCTTCACTGGCCGACCATATTCCCTTCCATCCTCCAACCAGATTCCGCGCAATGTTTTGTGTGTATATATGTAAATTTAATTAAATTTATACATTATTATGGGTCGTTGCCTACAATACCATACAGTAATAGAAATGAGTGCAGACATGTACTTAAGATGACAGCATGCGATATATAGATACATATGTATAGATATTGATACAAATGATTTTAAATGTATGTCTTGTAGTACTCTTAATATGTGACCAACCTATAAGAGTTAGGGTGTTAGTTTCACAGCAAGAGGGATCTTGCCAAAACTATGTGGAGACTTTTGTGACGCCCATCATGGAAGCCCTCGACAGAGGTTGGGAATCTAAAACTTCCTTAAATACAACCAGGTAAGACAAAGCATTTTCTGTTTCCTTTTCTCCTAAAAGCAACTACATACATATCATATTATAACAAAACATATGATATAATATAATATGATATAGTATAATACAACATAATATGATATAATATAATATCATATCATATCATATCGTGTCATATCTTTCAATTTCATATCATATCATATCATTTCATATAATGTCTTGCCATATCATGTCATACCATATCATATCATAGCATGTCATTTCTTGCGATCTCATACCATATCATATTATTATATATCATAGCATACCTTTCGTAATATATTGGATATCACATATCAAATATATTACACCATACCGTATATGATAGATATATCATATATTCCTTAATGCATTGAATATCAGATATGATATATTCCATACCATATATCATATCACATATGAAAGCAATCAGTTTTTGAAGTGTTGATCTCCAACTTTTCAACGGTCAGCCTTTTGACTCCTTGTGGTCTTTTTCAAAACGCAGGCCTTGAAGCAAGGAGAATTGAGAGCCGTAGAGGTGGGTTTCATGGCAGGTTTTCCATGGGGGATCCCCAAGAGTCGCCGCTTGGTTTTTTGTCGAAACTCCTACGAAATTTATGGATGACATCTGTAGCCAATCTTGAGATCATGATTTCCTGTTGGGAAAATGAGCTGAACATCGAACTGCAATGTTTTGCATATGTTGGAGATGAACTGCTTGGTGGTTTCAAGCATTTTTAGCCATAGACATGGGATGATGATCCCCACATTTTTTTGTTTTTTTTTTCAAGGACCAAACACGTGGATGAGCAACAACACTTGGTATTGAAGCAATAGGAATCGACAATTAAGCAGCAAACTGTGGATTATAAGCAATGATATATTATAATATATATATATATTATATCCAGTTGTCACCGGATGTGATCCAGTTCTCGACAAGTCAAGTGATTTTATTGTGATGGATTGATAGATTTGATTCGATGATTCATTAACAGATGGATTTGATGATTGAAGGGGTTGCTAATTTCGACATCTTGGGTTGCTTGATACGCTCTGATTACTATGCGTATTGGTACTAAAGTGTTGCCATCCCCCCAATAAGACAAACCCTCAGAATCACAATTCTTGAGAGGAAAGTAGTCCTCCACCCCCCAAACTCACGGCAGGTCTATATTACTTGGAGGAAGGGCAATGCTTGATGGATCTGATGATATACCCACTTCATATTTTTTCGCATGCGGATCTTGGGAAATTGATGGATTGGGTTATGAACTTTCAGCAGATCTTCACACACTGTTGGTGAACAAATGATAGATTTGAGTATCGATAGTGTAGTCTTCTTTCATGCAGATTGTGATATTTAGATGGCTTTAGCTTTAACTGCCATTCAATAAAGATTAGATACCGTCTGACTCCGTTTACAGATGGTGAGTTTTGATGGATTTAAGGATTTCTTGAAACAACATTCAACCACGAATTGGATAACGACCGGCTTTCTTTGAAGGTCGTCTCTTTTGTTTTTCCCCAAATCTATTTGTCTAGAAGCAGGGTCCCCACAGATCTGGTGGAGTCTATCCTCAATTTCCCTTTTCTTCAATGGCCAGAACTGAAATGGGTCCATCCCCATTTCTTCAATCCATTTTGCTGGGAAAAGCCAACTTGACACCTCGGAGTTGAGCCTGAAAATTGGGAGTTTCGCCAACAAAAATGCTCGGAGTCCTCACCAAAAACATCCAAAAACCAGGGGAACTGGTTGGTGGTTTGGAACATTTTTTATGACTTTCCATATATTGGGAAGAATAATCCCAACTGACTTTCCTATTTTTCATAGGGGTAGGTATACCACCAACCAGGGGGAAAATCACCGCAGGCGATGCGGAGAAGCTGTCCCTTGCCCTTGCTCTCCTTGCAGATGGATGGTCGTCCTCCGCAGACCGCGGCGGAGCAGCTGGAAGTTTTCACAGGTCGGGAGATCACAGCGACTCGCTGTGCCCCCCCAAAAAAAACCCAACGGAACAGTTCAACTGGTTCAACTGGGTATGATTACCCTCTGGTAAACTAACATAACTATGGAAATTGGCCCATTTGTAGTTGATCTACCTATTATAAATGGTGATTATATCTGGGTATGATTTTCATGAATATGGGTTTGTCTGAAAATGTTGTGTACCCCTACACCCAATGGTTTTGCTGATCATTATCCCTACTAAATGGCTATAATTGGGGGTATACCCCATTTTCAGACATACCCATATTAATGATATTTGATGATAAATGTGTTCAATTTTAAAAGTATAACAGGACAGATTCATGATCCTAATTGGCACACATGATGCCCCCTGGGGGTGCATAGACCTCCATAGCTGATGATAAGATGTGATAAATCCATCTATATAAATCCCCAAATGTATAGAAAGGAGCATTCATCATTTTTGCAGATTTTGTCGCCATCTTTGGTGAAGACCTGCGAACATCTTACCCTCCAGTAAATTAACAATTCGACCCTGCCAGATAGGGGCGAGTTTCCACTAAAATGGGTTATTTTCAGGGTCGAACTGTGAACAATTGCCAGGTCAATCCCATTGATCATCCCATTTATCATTTCTATCCATCATTATTAGTCACTATTCACCACTATTAATCATATGGTAATTCTCTTGATGGTCCCAAAAGGGATTTTTCTTCAACCATCGTGAGGTCCTTGCGGGCGTCGTGTCCCTCTGCCCGTGCGGCTGGAAGGTGCAGCTGCCATAACTTGCACAAAAAAGATTACACAATGTTACACACTACATATACCCTCTGGTTGTTTAACATAGCCATGGAAAATGGTCCATTTATAGATGATTTTCTCATTAATAGCTCCATTTATAAGGGATTTTCCATGGCTATGTTAAACAACCAGATGGTAACTTGCCACATCTTCAGACATATGTTCTGTTTGAAGTTCAGAGATGTTCCAGTGGGATCCAGTGGCTTTACGCTCTGGTGAGGATACCTCCAGGGACCCCTATAGATCTAATGCATTCCACCAGGCTTTCGATCAGCCGAAATGTTGGTGAAAAATATCTACGGTATCTAATATCGAAGTACCCAAATCCTTCCGGAGGTTTCCAAACTCTCACAAATGATCAAAAATGAGATATTCTATGATATTTTCCGTCAACCACATTTATCGTTTTTTCAAAATTTCTATTCAAATAGCCACCTATCAAACTATCTCTGTCTATCTCTGTTTATTCCTATCTATCCCTATCTATCTCTATCTATCCCTATCCCTATATACGAATCTATCTCTATCTATCTCTATCGATCTTTAACTATCTCTATCTATCTATCTATCTATATATATATTTATCTACCTCTATCTATCTCGATTTTATCAATTTATCTTAATCTATCTCAATCTACCTCAATCTATCTCTATCTCTATATCTCAAGCTATCTCTATCTCTATATTCCAATCAATATCTATCTCTATATCTCAATCTATCTATATCTCTGTCTCTGTCTCTATCTCTACCTCTATCTCTATCTATTTCTATCCGCATCTAGCCTCACAAAGCCTCATCTATCCATCTATCTGTCTATCTATCTGTCTATCTGTCTATCTATCTGTCTATCTATCTATCTATCTATCCATCTGTCTGTCTATCTATTTGTCTATCTATCTGTCTATCTATCTATCCATCTATCCATCTATCTGTCTATCCATCTATCCATCTACATATCTGTCTATCTATCTGTCTATCTACCTATGTATCTATCTATCTATCTATCTGTCTATCTATCTGTCTATCTGTCTATCTATTTGTCTATCTATCTGTCTATCTATCTATCCATCTATCTGTCTATCTGTATACCTATCTGTCTATCTATCTGTCCATCTATCTGTCTATCTATCTGTCTACCAATCTGTCTACAAATCTGTCTATCTATTTGTCTATCTATCTGTCTATCTATCTGTCTATTTGTCTATCCATCTATCTGTCTATCTATCTGTCTATCTATCTGTCTATCTATCTGCCTGTCTATCTGCCTGTCTATCTGTCTATCCATCTATCCATGTATCTGTTTATCTATCCGTCTATCTATCTGTCCATCCATCTATTTGTCTATCTACCTGTCTATCTATCTATCCATCTATCCATCTATCTGTCTATCTATCCGTCTATCCATCTATCCATCTATCTGTCAATCCGTCTGTCTATCCATCTGTCTATCCAATCTGTCTATCCATCTGCCTATCCATGTGCCTATCAATCTGTCTATCCAATCTGTCTATCCATCTGTCCATCCATCTGCCTATTCATCTGTCTATCCGCCTCTCTATCCAATCCATCTGTCGATCCATCCTTCTATCCATCTGGCTCTCCAGTTGTCTATCCATCTGTCTATGTATACATATAATCATATATATATATCCATCTGTCTCCATCCATCCATTCATCCATCCATTCACCCATTCACCCACGCACCCACCCACCCACCCTCCCTCCATCCATCCATCCATTCCTCCATCCATCCATCCACCCACCCATCCATCCATCCATCCATCACATCCATCCATCCGTCCGTCCGTCCGTCCGTCCATCCATCCATCCATCCCTCTCTCCTCTCTCCTCTCTCCTCTCTCCTCTCTTCTCGCTTCTCTCTTCTCTCTTCTCTTTTCTCTCTTCCCTCTCTCTCTCTCTCTATCTATCTCTATCTGTTTCTCCATCTCCATCTCTTTCTGATCTATCCATCCCATTCTTGCGTTTGGGTGTGTCTGAAAATAGGGAAAAAAGAACATAAAAAATCTAAATGGCTATTTCTGGAAGATGATTCACTGATTATAATCCCATATCACCATGGCCTGGTGATTATAAACCCTAAATGGAGGTTTCCTGAAATGCGTGTACCCCCAGTCATCATCCATTGCTAGATAGGGATTTTCCATTCTTAAACCATCCAGCTAGAAATGGGTATCCCCATTTCTGGACACCTTCATAATTAGTGTGTATATACTATTGATCATGAAATTAAGCATTATTAACAATCATTAACGATCATGAACCATTGATATTTAACCCATAAAACCCATTGAAAAATCCCATTTAAATCCCACCTAAATCCCATTTAAAGGCCATTTAAATCCCATTTAAAGGCCATAAAAAACCACCATTTCTTGATGGAAAAACCTATGATTTCCATCGAACATGCCGCCAGGTGCCTCGGAGCCCAAGGAGCTCCTGCGTTTGAACCTGGAAGCGATGCAGTTCAGCCGGCGCTGGTCACCATGGAGGTGACCGGGAATGACCGGGAGTGACCGGGAACCCCGGTGGCCCGGAGAGTTTTGAAAGAATTTTTTCATGGGATTTTAATGGGATTTTGATGGTTTTACTGGGATTTTACTGAGATTTTGATGGTTTTAATGGGATTTTACTGGGATTTGCTTGGGATTGAATGGGAGTTTCATATATTTTTTCATGGGATTTGTTCATGGGATTTTGATGGTTTCAATGGGATTCAACGGTGATATCATGGAATTAAATATGGCATTTTATTTTAATGGGATGGGGATCGTAGAACATGGGGATATATATATAATATATATATGTATATATATATATACCACCAATAAGATCATATGGGGATTCGATCAGGGTCTGATGGGATTATTTTTCTTGCAATCTATGATATGTTCCCTGGGCGTGTCTGAAAGTCGGGGATTAATCAGCAACAATTGGGATATTTTATGGGGCTTGAATGCGGATATGATGAGATATGTCTGAAAATTTGGAGACAACACGCTTTAGCACCATTCTCCCGATTAAGCTTGCCATTTGGGGATACAATTTTCAGAAGCTCGGGGTGTCAGTTTTTTAATGTTTACCCTCCAGTAAAGTGAAACAGCTATGGAAGTCCATGGGTCTTCTGCAGGAAACAATCTACAAAATGGTGGATTTTCCATGTAAATGTTTGTTTACTGGAGGCAATTTCCGGAGGGCACTAATGTATGACCCAGAGACAATAAGACTGGACAATCCTGCATCAATCCAAGGATGTTCCTGACTTCAGAAACTGGAGTGGCTATGTCCAGTATATACATATTATAGACATACACGTCGAGATAGCCTCTGGTGTTTACGTTTACATAGCTATTGAAAATCACCATTTTCATATATTAAAACATCTATTTCTATGGTCAGTGGGGCTTCCAGTTCGCGACCTGTTCGTAGGTCGTTTTCACCGGTCATCCCTGGCAGGCTTCATTGCCCCGTCTCGCTCTATGAGAAGCAGCTGATGCTTGGGTAGTGAAAAAAACCACGACTGGTTGATTGGGTAGTACCCTCTGGTAATTTAACATAGCTATTGAAAATTGCCATTTATAGTGGATTTACCCATTGAAAATGGTGATTTTCCATAGTTATGTTAGTTTACCAGAGGGTATCACAAGGCAACAGGAATTGGAAAAAACCAGGTTTCTGACATGGGATAAAATTGCTGGTGATATTGTTGGATGAAAGTTTTACATAGTTTTACGAGAACAGCCGACTTCTTAGTAGTGTACGTACATAGTTTGGCTTTCCTTGTCATTCCCACTCAAGTGGGATCTAACTAATGCCTAGGTCATGCCCACTCGAGCACGCTGTGCAAAATGTTTGCTCCACTAAGTTGAAATACACAACTGTCATGGATTTTTGCAGAGAGTCCGGAGCCTTTCACATGGGTATGTGAACATCATTGTTCACATCCCTCATGTAGAGAATCAACAGGGTACCGAAATTTGCTGCCCAGGACCCCAGGAGTCGAGGAATTTGCTGTGGACTATGCAGGTCGATTGGTGGGTTGGTGGATTGGTGGGTTGGACAGCCTTTTTGTTGGGTGAAATTTTGAAGTCTCCAGGGGAGCGCAGGGATTTTTTATTTGGTGTTTTTTTTTTGTTTGGTGATTTTTTGTGTCTACACCATTGCTGGTTGGTGGTTTGGAACATGGCTTATATTTTTCCAAGTATTGGGAATAATCATCCCAACTGACTTTCATATTTTTCAGAGGGGTTGAAACCACCAACCAGATTGAATCTTAGGGGATCCAAGCAGCTTGAGCCGCGCCGCAAGCCGCAGTGGAGAGTTCATCCCCCAACATATTGAGGGAAGAGGCCAATCCTTGGACATCAGCCAAGACATATATATATATAATCATATGATATCATATACTATATACATACAAAAACTATATATATATAATCATATACATTTATATACTATATACATACAAACACAGTGTACACATATTGGGGAATGTAACCTTCAAACATATGACAGAAATTCCTGCAATGGCTAATACTACGATTCTTCCCATCAAACCAAAGGTGTACCCAAGTTCTTGATAGTCAGATTCCTTGGGAGCGGTAGTTCTAGAAGTTGTCAGCAATTCAGAATCTCCGACCCAATTGTTTGGTTGACACCTGGAATGCGTGCGTTCTACCCACTGGGGAAGTGGCCGAACCCCCCTCCAGAAATGGAGCTGTTTGGAGGGCCTGTTTGTGTTTAGTATTTTTTGGGAAGGAGTTAACTTCGAACTGCTGTTCAGTTGAAATTTATGTGAGATATTCCCATGTTTTCACGCCACAAATTGCTTTGCGGGAACCGACTTGGCAAGAAGAACGCAGCGATTGCAAGTGGGTGTGATAAACCGAAAATAGGATATACCCGCGTCCATTTTCACGAGAACATGGTGGATAAACCAGTGGATGGAATCGAATTATGGGTCTTCCCATCATTTTCAGAGACACCCATTTAGTAAGTCCATGCTTCCTGGGGTTTTTCCCATACGTTTTCCGGTGGTTTTTTTGCGCCGGGCCTGGGCTTAGCCTTCCGCAGGCTACGTCTTCCTCTTTGCCGGAGAGGAGAATTCTCGTGAAGTTTCCGTTTGGGGTTACCGGGTTGGCGACGTGCCTAGTGACGCTGTTGCACCCCTGTCGGAAGTGAACAATTGTGTGAGTCCGGGTCTTTGTGGGAATGCGCTTTTTGGATCTTTTTGGTAAGTTTTATGTATTGAATAATTTTCAAACATCTGTTTTTGTCTGTCTTAGTTTTGAGGCGTAGCAGTTGTAGAGCTATAAGGCTATATGTATATAGGTATGTATTGTGTAAAAACTTTTGGCTTCAAGTCTTGTGTGTATACGGTACATATCCAAGTTAGTACATCAGGCAAAAAATAAACTACAAGGACCTGAAAGCAAACCCGTCAATCAGCTGGGAAAATTCAGTTTGGTAGAAATATGCTGTAATGCAGCTATTTTTGCTATGAAATATTGTATTGAGTCAATGAATATCAAAGAGGAATGGAATTCAATTTTGGCCGGTTGCGCCACGCTCAACGATAGGGTGGTGTTTGCTTCCAGGAAACGGCACTCTTGATTGACAGGAGATGTCATTTTGTCTCCAAGCAGTACTGCATCTTCATGACAGAGTTCCCTGCATCTTAAAGAGATATGGAACGTTTTGTAGGGATAAGCATGCTGTTGTCTTGAAACAAAATGTGTTTTTAAAACACAGTATCAATTCAGATTATATGGACAACACCATGCCTCTTATCAGTCATAATTTAAAAGAATGTGGCATTCCTTCAGGAAATTGTGGCATACCTCCGTGCAACATTCTTCTACAGAGAGGGCAGCGTTCCTCTTATAAAATGTATCATTACTGTGAAGCACGGCCCTGAGATGTGCACAGCATTCCTTTAGAAAGAGTGCACCATGTCTTCCATATATATTTGGAACAAATATCGTATGTCTTCCATCGAGGTACAGTAATACTATTTCAGAGAAGGTAGCGTCTCTCTAATATACAAGTTACTTTTTCAAGAGTGCGGCATTCCTTTAACAAAGTACTTGATGATTTCATGAAATATTAACTTGAATGATGGTGTTCTTCAATCTTCCTTCGAAAAAGAAACAGCATTCATGTGAACAAAAATATGGCATCATTTCAAAATATCATAATTCACTATTTGATATTTTTTTTGAAATATGTTCATTATTTTACATGTATACACTGTATCGCTTTCAAAAGTGTGTGACATTCCTTTGAGAAAGTAGCTTTCAGGACACACATGAGTTCTTGTGAAAGAGTCTGGCATTGTTTAAGTTCTTGTGCTAAAGGGAACCCTTTCACATGTATATAGATATGTATATATATATATGGCAATCCTTTCGAAAGAGGGTGATGTTGTTGTAAGAAAGTGCAGTATGACTCCATGGAATGGTCATTTGAACAAAAATAATGCAGAAAGTCGAGCATTATTTTGAAAAGGTATTCTTCAAGAAGCAGTTGCACTCTAAGAAACCATGCCTTTATGCAAGATTTCTTGAAAAAGATGCAATATTGTTATATTCCTTTGGTGACACTCCTTGTTTAGAAAAAGAATACACAAACAGGGCCACCTCCTCCAGAAAATAGAAAATACGGCCTTCCTCCTTTAGAAAATAAACAATATTCAGGGACTCTTGTCCAGACCCCCCCTTTCCAAAGAGTCTGGAAATATGTTTTTTTTGGTGTGTGTGTGTTTCCCTGGTTTTTGCAAGTTTTTTTTTGTTTTTTAGGTTTCCTCCTCCTCCAAAGAGTATGGAAGTAATTTTTAGGGGTGTGTGTCAAATTGTTGTGTAAGAATGCATCTGGGAGTGAAATAAAATGGAACAATATCTTAAGATGAGATGATCTGCTTTGAATTGCAGCAGAGGATCCCTGAATTTTGAATGATCGATTTGTGGTTTGACATAGCAAATCACTGTGGCAATTCACTGTAGGAATTTCAATTTTCACATGTCGAATAAGCATTGAACAAATGATCAGAAATGATTGATACTCATCGAATCAATTTAAGGAGCTTTCTGAGATGCATTTTCTGGCACCCAGGGAACACAATTCCAGAAACCTCCTTTTCCTTAAAACTCATATCCAATGGTTTTGAAATGATATTGGTGGCTGCGTAACCCCCATTATTCTCCATTAGGTTCCAATTTTTATTGCTTGTTATTACCCTTTGGTAAACTAACATAGCTATGGAACATTTTTCATTTATAGTTGGTTTACTGTACCTACAAAAATGATGATTTTCCAGTGCTATATTAGTTTACCAGAGGGTATATACCCATATCATATTAATATTTTTTCAAAACGATCTCCAAACACATTACATACGTCTCCGAACAGTTGGAACCTTGGAAATGATGGGGAACACATCTCCGAACGACCATCCTGGAAACATGTTTTGCATCTTTTCTCGGCAAAATTTCTTGGCATTTTATGGGCCTATAATTCTTTTTTTCAGATGTGCCATGGTCCAAACTTGGAAAAAAAATCCCCAACTGGGGATGATAGTTACCGATCTATGGGGACATTTTTGGGATGGTTTATAATGGTACCCAATCATCCAAGTCAGCCCATTTTAGTGTGTTTCCACCATGGTGATTTGCGGTACCAACGATTTTAGGACACCTTTATATTACCCTCTGGTACATCATTAATCACCATCATTAACCATCATTAACCATCATTAACCATTATTAACCATTATTAGCCATTATTAATTACCATTAGTTGGGTAAGGTTGGTTTATGGCATTGGCAAATTGGGTACACCATGCCGAGCCACGGATAGAAACCCCACGCCAGGACCCAATGCGCCGCTTCTGTCAGTGGCCGAAACGCTTCTTGACAGAGATGCCTTGCATCAACGCGCCAGGCGGGACCCCGCGGCAGCGCTGGTCTTGCTGTGTTCTGATGACTTTTCCAAAGGGTTTCTGCATATCTGTGCTACGATTTCATAGATCATTCATATCTATTCATATCATATGCACATGACATTTTTTTTGACACATATCATATCATATGCACATTCATATCATTCTTTTTATGACACCCAGACATACATAGGATTATTTTGGTATGTAAATAGGACATAATAGAAACATGTCTCTACACGTCAATATTTTGACTCGCACCATGCTTGTCGTACCATACATGCATATTCACACGTGATACAATGTAACATATCAACATATCATACATGATAAGTATATAGACATAGACACTTCAATCTATCATGAATGGCTTTCAATACTGTTTTCAGTCTCCCGAAATGGTGAAATTGGACAACTGGGGAAGGTTTACCTCTTGGGGTTTTCTTTGATCTCTTTGCTTCGCAGAAACATGGTCGTAATTCTTCCCGCCATTTTCGTCAATGTGAAAAACCATAACATGGTTACGATTCTGATTCAGCATATACTCAGAAAAACATGTTAGCATCAAATATGTTGACATGGTTGCCGTAGTTTTAAGACTTTATGTTGACATGGTTTATGTAGATATTTGATATTTTAATTTGTTATGGTGTATGGTTGTTTTATGGTTATGGTTGCCGTATTTCAACGGTTACCCTCTGGATATTTAACATAACTATGGAACATCACCATTTTCTAGCTGGGAAAATCCACTATTTCTATGGTGATTTCCCATGGTTTTTTGTATGTTTTACCATAAAAAAAAACCACCGGAGATTTTCCCGAGATCTCCAGGTATGACCTTAGGCTTCGTCCTCCTGAGCCCTGCATCCTTCCGAGCCACTTCGCTGGTCCAGCGGCTCCATGGTGCCCCGGACGGGCCCAGGGCCCGGGACGTGGGTTGAAAGATGGTCGTTTTTCCATCAGATTTCTATGGTTTATCTATGGTTTATCTATGGTTTAATCGTGGTGATGGCTTATCCATGGTTTATCTGGTTTATCTATCTATTGTTATATATATTTTTCAGTATCCACAATTGATTTATAGAATGTTTCGTATCCCCTATTGATTTATGATTGATTTATCAACTATGTAACTGAAATCAACCACGGTTTATCTGCCCCGGGTAAATGATAATGACCTCACAGCGACCCAACCCTGGAATCATGGTTAGGATTTTGGGAATCATCCCCAAATCACCTTATTTCAAGTTAGTGAATTCTTATAATTTACCCAGAAAGATGGTAAATACCATGGTTTAGATATGGGTTTGTCTGAAAATAGTGTACCCGTAAACCTAATGGTTAATCATCTTCCCTATTCAGTTGCTATAATTTGAGGTATATAACCCATTTCCAGGCACACTGATGTGTTACTAATGGTTGAAAGATTCAACGGGGATACCCAACATTAATCCAATGTTGTTTTTTTCCTTCAGTTTTTCATGTGTTGACAAAGACATGAATCTGGAAGATTTTGAGCAGATAGATATGTCTCCAGGACCTCTCGAAATTGGATGGTTTATTGCAAGGAGCAACGCTTGCCTGTTATAAAATGAGTTTTGCAAGGTGAAATGACCCAGAGAACCTGTTTTCCCACTGTCAGGGACTCTGGAAGCCTTGAAACTTTTAAAGACATCAAGGAAAGATGTGGCTTTGCCCGGAAATGCAGTACCCTCCATTCCAACGGGTGATCAGTCTATTGATTAAAGCTGCCATTCTTCACAGCCATGTTTTGGCAGATCTCCCCTAAAGATGACCGGAAAATCTGGCAATTTTCTGGCATCTTTTTCTTCCAGAATCTTATGGTGTCGTCTCGTGTCTTTTAATGCATAAAACCACCAAATTCAAAAGCTTGGACAATGGCCACAAAAAAACAACCACCATCTGTGTACTTCAAAACCTTGCTTCTTCCTTTACGAAGACCATCCTGGTTGGTGGTTTGGAACATTTTTCATTTTCCATAATATATGGGATGTCATCCTTCCCATTGACGAACTCCATCATTTTTCAGAGGGGTACAGTAGGTCAACCACCAACCAGTAATAGATATAACATGATATAACTATAGTTCATAGATGTTTTCATAGGCTTCATAAACCAACTTATTTTTCCTGGGGGGCACCATCCTTTAACCATATAATAACCATATATTAACCATTATTAACAGTATATTAACCACATTAATTAACCATCAACCACAGTATATAAACCATTCCCCCATTTCTCACCACGCCGTACAGGGTGGCCGACCACCGGGTGGTTTTTTTTGGGTGGTTTTTTGATTCACCGATTCGCCATGGAGCCATGGGGGGGTTCACCGTGTTTCTGGGATAGCTTATTCCATTGTGTATATGGAATATATATTGGAAATATAATGGAATACATGGAATATATAATAGAATGGAATATTTTATGAAATATATGGAATATATGAAATAATGTATGGAATATATGTATAGCTTATAATAATATTAATGGAATACTTCATTGAATATAATGAGTTCGTCAGTTGGGATTATTATTTCCAATATATGGATATACATATATACATATTATACTGTTATTATTTTTTATTTTTCCATATATTGGAAATAAGAATCCCAACTGACGAACTCATATTTTGCAGAGGGGTAGGTCAACCACCAACCAGTATACATATATATATATATATATACACACATCCCAGTATGTTACATATATCTCAGACAATAAGGTTGCTTTTAATCCTTTTTTTTTGCTGGCTCTATCCCCATGTCTTGTTTACGCATGATAATTCAATCGGCCACTCCTTTAAAAGTCAGTAAACACAACATTAACACAATCCGATATGTATATATATAATTATCCTAATTTGCTGGATTATATCACTCCATCAAAAAAAGTAACTTTATAGCGCTGTATTGCCCTAAGACCCTACTTGGTGGGGCAGTTCCAGTTGTAAGTGGTTATATTATCACAGTTGTAGTGGGCCCCATATCCCAACTTATGGGGGTGACATCACCATGGTTATCACCCCAACTGCAGCCTTTTTATTCAAACCTTTTCGGACTCTGGTTGGGTTTAGTGGATAAATTATCCTATTAAATCCCACTAAAAATCCCATTAAATCTCATTAAATCCCACTAAAAATCCCATTGAATCCCATTACCCTCCGGTAAACTAACATAGCTATTGAAAATTGCCATTGAAATAGCGAATTTTCCCATTAAAAATGGTGATTTTCCATAGTTATGTTAGTTTATCGGAGGGTAAATCTCATTAAATCCTATAAGTTTCCCCACATTCTCTGCAGACGTCTACGGCTTCGACGCGGTGGACCCGCTGCGGCTCTTGCAGCTGGCCCTGAAGCAGCCGCCGATGCCCGAGGAGATCCCCGAAGAGGTGGTTTCCGCTGGGAAACTGAGATGGGATAGATCTATGAGCATTTAGATCTACATAATATTATGTATATATGTGTGTATATATGTATATATATATATATATGTATATATATGTATATATATATATACATATGTATATATATATATATATGTATAAGTATATTTATATATATAATATATATATATATATATATGTATGTGTGTATATATATATATATGATATACTATATGATATACTATATGATATACTGTACGATATACTATACGATATACTATATGATATACTATATGCTATACTATGTATATATATATATCATTAGTCATGATAGGTTATTGCAAGTCATTATCTGTTATTCTATGTCATTACAGTATATATCACTATATATCATTGTATATATATATATTCACCTATGCCTATATGTGTCGATGTTGATATATGCACACCAAATCCGCAGGGCACGGTGCCCGTGCCGCTGGAGACGGAGCCCTACCTGTTAGCCTCGGAATACCAGGAACTGCGAGCAGGCGCTGATGGGGGCGCTGATGGGGGCCGAACGTCCCCAGTGGTGGTGGAGTTTTTGGTGGGTTTTTTGAAACCCAAAATGGGTGAAGATGGTCACTTCGCCCTGGTGAAATGGGTGAAATTCTGAGTCAGCAGCAATTTGTCGCGGTGAAAAAATCGGCACTGGAACTTTTCATTGGTAGAACAAGGTAAATTCACCAGCCACAAATGGGTCGTTGATTGCGATTGGATGAACATCACACGTGGGATGATCCGATTGCCTCGCATAGATCCATGGTTCCATTGGTGCCTCCGTGGTCCAAGTTGGTGTGCCTAGGTGAATGGTTTGCGGATGTTTATGGTATCCTCTGGTTAACAGTTTGCCATGGAAAATCATAAAATCCACCCATGCTTTTAAGTTCGGTATGGCCCATCTATTTCGATAAATGGGCCATGGAAAAACCATGGCTAGCCCTGTGAATGTCATAACCAGATGGTATATCTTTGCCACATGGATCATCCCAGTGAATGGCCTAGATTTCCCTGGGGGAATCTGGAAAAAACTGGCCAGGCAAGACGGTGTCGACCACGACTTTCCTGCGACTCATCGCGAAACAGCTGGGGATTGAGAAGAACTTGACCTTGATCCAAAAACAGGCCACAAACTCAGAGGAACTCAGCAAAATTGGGCCAAGTTGTTGGCTGTGGCTTTTGAAAAATGAGTGGTATACCCTCTGGTAAACTAACGTAACTATGGAAAATCACCATTTTTAATGGGAAAATTCACTATAAATGGTGATTTTCAATAGCTATGTTAAATTACCAGAGGGTATACTCCGCACGTTATGGCCATTGAATTATGAATGATGTTGGGATAATGATGACACATTTTTGGATTCGGGGCGCTCGCATATTTTTCAGACACACCCTGCTTTTGTCTGCCGTCCCAAGGCGGAAGCTCTGGAAGATGCCAAGAAACGCTTGGAGGTGCTCAAAGATTTCAGACATGGCACTGGAAAGAACCAACATATTTCTGGATGATTTTCATCCATTTAGATCATTTAGTTGGGAGATTTTCCATTGCCATGTGGGTATGGATCAATACCTATTAATACCATTTTTAGGGGGTTATTCACATCCATAAATCCCAGCTATTTTGATGTTCACTAGGGGTACCAGGTTTTGACACACTGCCATGTGTGATGAATCGTTGATGGACTCCACGGGCAGACATAAAAACTGCTGTTTTTCCTAGTGAGCACCGCCAGCAAAGCAACAGGCGCATGAAACGCAAGGAATTTTCGCGGGAGGAAAGATATCTGCAGGTTTTTGAGCAAATTTGATTGGTGAAGTTGCACCGGTCACTGGATTGATATCTATATATATACATATGGCAAAGTGGCAGCCAGTACCCTGAAGACCATAGGACACCACCCTCCAAATTTTGGATGCTTCCTTTGAATTTTCTTCCTTTTGGACCAGTTTTCTGCGGAAACCCCGAATTGGGAAGTTTCAATACGTTGATCTTTTGGCACGTTGGTGGGGGATATCTGGGTAGCATGGTAATCTTCCTGGTGGTAGCGTCGCAAGACCTGGGTCTCATGCACTGCTTGATGTTTTGCCTGGTACTCGGATAGAACTGAACACTCAACATACCCTCTGGTTATGACTAACATAGCTATTGAAAATGGTCATTTATAGTTGATAAAACCAATTGAAGATGGTGATTTTCCATAGTTATGTTAGTTTACCAGAGGGTATCTCAAAATGACGATTCTATGGGTCAGACTTGGGCCAAAACTGGATGCTTTACTCTGACATTCAGAATATCTATTTTTTTGGAAAACACATGAAAAAACTTACTTTCACTGGTAAACCAACATAGCTATGGAAAACCACCAAAATGTGCCATTTTCATCCATTTTCAAAAAAACCCGGGTACTTTCACTGGTAAATTCGCCCAGCTCAGGAGGCACAAGCGAATGGCAGCGATCCGCCGGAAGGAATCGTGCTGGATGATGAAGGCGATCCGCGCGGGACGAAATTCATCGGCTCTGTACCCATAAAATGGCCATTTTCATAGGGGGAAGTGGTGATTCAGCCGTGGATGGCATGGGTCTTTCTCTTATTCAGAGGAACCACAACGTGCTCCGCCATGCTGGTGAAATTGTGGCACTGATGTGGACGATGTTGACTCCATTCTACATGGATATATCATGATATATATATATAATATAATATAATCAATAATATGTATACATATAATTACATATATACATATAATATCTTTTCCGGACATTTGTTTGGCATTTTGCAGTACTTCCTGACCCAGGACTTATTTAGTAGTCAGTTACTTTTTAATACAAATCATAAAGATGTGTATATGGATTATGAAACTCACCAAGAATCCCTGGTAAACATCATATTTACAGTAGGTAAATCCATCCGTAATTTTTGATTCCCAATTTGGATCGATTTTTCGATGGTTCACTGCAGCTTTTTTGCTGACCTGGCTAAGCAGCCGCCTGGTCCAGGTCAGCCAGTGGTTGAACTCGAAGAGCCCTTGAAAAAACCATCCAAGGGCTACGTCCTGCAGGCTCAAGTTGGATTTCATCACTAGAAATGGGTGGGATATTTGAAACGGGAATTCAGAGGAGATATCATCAACTGTCAAAAGTTGGATAGCATTTTCATAGCCATATCGGGGGTCATCAACCGATTTATGAATATCAATGGATTGGTTTAAGGGAAAATTTACAGGAAACCATGGTTTTTACCATTAAATATGGGGTTTTCCTGCAATTTTTCCCCTAAACCAATCCATTGAGAATAGGGAATTGAATACTCCTGGATTCCCAAGATGGGAGTGGTGACCATCATCCAGAAAAACCATCTGTTGACCATGGCACAGATCTACTGGTGGATGTTGGTGGTTGCTGAGTGGTGGTTTCATACTGATCTACTGGTTGGGATACCAATGAATCATGATATATACAGTACATATACAATATATATATATGTCTCTCTCTCTATATATATGTATATATAATGCGGTTTGAAAAACATAAAACCAACCACACTGGGGATATACTGATGGCATATGTTCATCTGCTGGCTTCAAAGATGTTCAATTTCAACCATAGAAATGAGATGATGATCCCCAATGATGCGCATGGAGGAAACCAGCAACCAGACTAGATTCGTTTAGTCCAGGGGATCAGCAAACCACCAAGAATTCTTATGAAATCCATGGTGTTTCGCGTGGATCCCCTTGATTTTGGGGTGCCATGTGTCATGTGTAGCCTACAAACTGAGGGGATCCACTCGGAGTCTTGAACCTCACCAAAAGACCAGTTGAAAAACACGGTGTTTTAAGCGATGTTTCAACCCGGTAAGCCATCCAAAAGTCCTTTTGCAAAATCTCAGATTAGGCAATAGATTTTCTTCAACCTTTGGGGTATATTCATATGATATCACTATATATAATCATATTATAATATATTATATGTATATGTATCATATTCATATATATATATAATCTATCATTCGCTCACTGCTTTGGGGTTTCATCGACAACGATTCATCACGCATTGAAAAATTGGAATGATCCCCCAGTGATCCAAACCACCAGTGGATGACGAGTGATCACCAGATTTGGGATCGCATCGCAGGGCTTCCCGGAGTCGGCAGAGCAATTGGAAGCCATGAAGTTGAAGATGGGCCTTGTGCCAGATCAGGTGCCCTGAAAGATGAAGGTTGGACTTTTTTTTGGGGGATGAATCGTACTAACCAGCAGCTGAATGATGTAGATTCTGACCAACTTGGGTGTTTTCTTTTTTTAGAAGAGTTGCAGATGAGATATTGAAACACTAGAAGCTTCCAGATGACATTCATGGATGGTCCCTGGACCCCAGAATTTCAGATTTCTAGCAGGTGATGGTGGATTCTCTTTATGATTTAGATGTGATATGATATGCAGGAACTATATCACCATATGTATATATATATATGTATATATGTATATACTGTATATGTATATGTATATTACTATATGTGTATATGTATATACTTTATATGTATATGTATATGAATATACTGTATATGTATATGTATATTACTATTAATTATCATTATTCTATAGTTGTTGTTATTATCATTATTATTATTGTTATAGTTATATATCATTATTGTTATTGTCACTATTTTCATTATTGTCAGTATTACTATTAATTCTTAGTTATTGATATATATATACATACACATGTTTTTAAACAATTAATCATTAATTTTCAATGACTAATAACAATTATAATTATTACTAAATTTACTATAAATATATAATTATATATATATATGTACACACATATTTTGGAGGATATCGATTCCCGAATTGACATGTCTGCGGGGACGTTACATGGTTGCTTCATCTCTCATCATATCCGCGCTTTGTGGCTATAGGCGTATACTGACCAAAGCTTGTGATCCACTTGCAACATGGGAGAGGAACTACGGCCGTGCTGGTGAATCAGATTTGCTCATTTACCCTCTGGTAATTTAACAGTTCGCTATTGAAAATGGTCATTGAAATAGTGAGTTTTCCCATGAAAATTGGTGATTTCCCATAGTTTTTTGTAAACGTTTACCAGAGGGTAACCATCATTAACCATCATTAACCATCATTAACCATCATTAACCATCATTAACCATCATTAACCACTAAAATTGGTGATTTCCCAAAGTTATGGGACAGTTTACCAGAGGGAAGCTACGGCCGTCCCGAAAAAAAAGATCCGCACTGGCTATGGAGATCTCAGATCAGCGCTGGGAGAAAGCGGGCGTCGGCGCGGCGTGAGAAAATTCGGGGATGATTTAATGGTGATTTAATGGTGATTTAATGGTGATTAATGATGGTTAATGATGCTGATTAATGGTGACTAATGGGATAAATGATAATAATGAATGTTACCCTCCGGTTATGACTAACAGTTTACCATGGAAAATCCCCATTTTTAAGTTCGGCAAACCGTAAACCATCTATAAATGGGCCATTTTCCATGGCTATGTTAAATAACCAGATGGTATTCACAGAAAACTGAATGAAGTGCATTTTTTAGCACGTTCAGATGGCAGCAATTTGTAGAACTTGAAAGAAAACTTCAACACAGCAGATCCTTAGGACACTCACAAAACTTGAAAATGTCTGCATTCTTTTTTCGCTGTATCGGCCAATATCCAAGTATCAGTGGGTCTACCCCACAAGTATCCGGTACTTGTATAACTTATATTACTTACCCTCTGGTTATTTAACAGTTTGCCATGGAAAGATCCACCCATTTTTTAAGTTCGGTAAACCATGAAAATTTTTATGGGCCATCGAAAAACCATGGCAATGTTAGTCATAACCAGATGGTACTTATATGAATATATATATATATATGCCATATATCCCATATATCCCATATATTCCGTATAAATTTCTCTATGGATGACCATTGGCTCCGATGGGCTGCAGGTGCTATTGCTGAAGGTCTTGGGTGAAGAGGCGCCTGAGACCCTGGAGATTTTGCAGAAAGAAGGCCGTCTGAGTTGGGTTGAGATGGGTGAGGCATGAGTTACCCTCTGGTAATTTAACAGTTTGCTATTGAAAATGGTGATTTATACTGGATTTACCCATTGAAAATGGTGATTTTCCATAGTTATGTTAGTTTACCAGAGGGTACACATAGGCACATAGGACTCATCGCCCATCGAACTCTGCGTATTGATTGTTCCCTTTTCTCATTGCATCACCTACGACGAAGTGCCGCGTTTGATGACTTATCATTGCCATTTGATGGGTATGCCCCCATTTTCAGACACATAGAAATAGTATCACACTATATTCCCATCTGTCCAATCAACTTTTTTTGATGGTTAAACACTGTTAAACACTTAAAGCCCAACATGTGGTGGCTCGTTTCTAGACCAGAAAACGCAACGCACAGGTCTGGGTGCTTCTCAACCCCTGCAGCCCCTCCTGGAGACTCAGTTGACTTCCTTTGAGGCGCGTATCCAATGGGATCATCAAAATTCGACAGTGGTTAATGATGGTTAATGAACCATATATCTGAGTGGTTAATGATGGTTAATGATGGTTAATGATGGTTAATGATGGTTAATGATGGTTAATGATGATTAATGATGGTTAATGATGGTTACCCTCTGGTAAACGTTCACATAACGAACTGGAACATCACCATTTGTTCATGCGAAAATTCACTATTTCAATGGTGATTTTCCAGTTCGTTATGTTAAATTACCAGAGGGTAATGATGGTTAATGAAGCACTGCACATATATCTGGATGACTTATTTTTGACCTGTGACGTCACACGGTTTTTGCTAGATTCAGGGCATGATTCCCCTATTTCAATAGCTATTTTCAGGTTGGTGATTTAGGCTTATCACCACCAATTTATATTGGAATTTAGCCAGATTGGAATAGCTATTGCCAGAAATAATACCTATATAAATGGAATTTAGCCAGATATATTGCTGGGTTATCTCGTATTCCCCTGGTTTGTGGTGTGGGTGATGTTTTAAAACAAAACCACTTGGAAATGGTCTGCCAGTAATGTGCCTGAGAATCAGGGGCTTACCCCAAATGGCAATTTTGTGATGGATAGTCTGGATACTGATGGTGGATGGAATGGGGTCCTCTATTTTCAGTCAAACCCACCTGGTTTCATGGGTGTTAATTGTCATATACTGTAACGTATGGAGTGGGAATGCCAGCCAACCAGTACTCAACTAGAATTAGGGGAGAACTATTTTGATATGTATATAATGGTTTGACCAGCAAAACAGGAGGGTTGCACCAATGAGACTTCAAATGCCGTACCCTCTGGTAAACATTCACATAACTGGAAAATCACCATGTTCTAGCTGGGTAAATCAACTAAATCACCATTTTCGATAGCAAACTGTTCTGTTAGTCATGACCAGGCCGGGTATTTGGTCAAGGACATCATCCCTTTGACGCCGGCAGGTTTCATCCCCTCCAACTTTGGATGCAGGATGAACGAAGATAACTGGAATCAAATGGGATATAATTTTTAGTATTGGGGGATATTTAGTATAATGGGATATAGTTCAGATTGATTCATGGCATGATAATTTTGAATCAATCTGGTTTAGTAATATAACATCAAATGGGATATTCCATGGGATATTCCATGGGATATTCATGGTAATACCCATTAGATAACCATTAGTTTGAGAACTGGAATCAATTTGAATCAATCTGGTTCCCATGTATCTTAGTAAGATCAACTGGGATGAACTATTGTAGATAACTGGCATGAACTATTTTAGTCCGATCCCATGAATATCCCCATGTAAATCCCAAAAAACATCGACACCTTCCATCCGCAAACAGCGCGAGGGATTGACTGCGGTGGAAGGATTGAAGGTCTCGGAGGTGGCATTGGAGGTGACAGAGGCCTGGTTTATTTGGGTTCCCAATAGCGATAGCTTGGGGTTGTTAAACTGATGGTTTATTGTAAACTGATTTAAACTAAAACACACTGTTTTTCCCCAAACAGTGTACTGTTGGACTGTTAGGGGTTCTTGATGCTATCTTAAGGTGTCCGCCTTGGTGTTGGATGGTGTGTCCGCCTTCCGAGGGTCTTCTCTCCCCTTGTCTCTCATCGACATGTGTGCCTGTGTTAGATGGCCAAGGTCTTCCTTGTCTCCCGTTGTCTCCCCACGTGTGTGCCTGTGTGTTAGATGGTGAGTCCGCCTTCCCGAGGCCTTTCTCCCGTGTCTCCCAGCTTGTTGGACTTTTCTCCCAGCTTGTCTCCCAGCTTGTCTCTCTTCTGGTTTCCCTTTGTGGCGGGTGGTCTCATTTTGCATTTTTCCCTAAACAGTGTACTGCTGGGGGTTGTTGATGTTTTCTCATGTGTTTGACCCTGTTCCCCAAAACACTTCTTGAATCTACCCACTGTTTGGGGTCTACGGTGGTGTAATTTTCTACTTTGATTCCAGTGTCTTGTTCTGAGCTTGTTCTCTTTCGTATGGTTCGCCTTTCTCATTTTCTTGTGGGTGAAACTATGTCAAAATATGTCAAAATTAGATAGGCACCCCATAAAATGGAATGGTCTTAAGACGGTCTTACATCTGGAAATTACAGATTCTCTGGGCCTAAGCTATTGACCGAACGAAGCCCAGCAGTTTTTTCGTACCTGGTCCAGCCTGGTCCACGCTCCCCAGATGCAGAATTTTCATCTGCAGGATGAGCAATTTGTGCAGATCAGAAAGCACATCGATCCCTTTTACCAGGTGGTGGAGGACCCTTGGGGACCGTTGGGGAATCATGGGCATCTGGTCCTTGGGGATCTTGGGGATTGGTGTTTGGTGGATGTATACGTAGGATGGGTGCATGAATCCAGTATTTCCAGACTTTGGGTCATTCCAACTTCATAGGCTTCCAAAACAATGTGGGGCACACTCACAATTGGTACGTTTTACCGTGTTCAAGAACGACAATGGTGAACTGGGCCTCCAGTTTTCCCAGAAACGGTCTCCAGGTCAGGAGACCAACTTTGATTTTGAGACCAGTTTGAGTGGGCGTCCATTGCAAATTTGGTCGTCCAAAGACTTTTCGGGAAAACCATCTGACAACTTCTGAATTGCATTGAAAATTCTTGATTTGAAGCATTTGTAAAAATGGGGTACATGGGATTACATGGGCTGGATTTCGAAGGGTTTTTCCAGCCATGCGCGCGAGTTTTCGGAATGGGCTTCCCACATTGGGACCCACTTGTTTTTCAACCTCTTACTATCAATTGTTGAATCATCTGCGGCCAAACGCATCATTTCCGAAACCACACATCACCAACAAAGACATCGGATTTCTGCCCTAAAGCAGCCCAATGGAGTTTGAGTTTGAGTTTTATTTTGGGACATCCCAATAAACATGAACAGGTCTCACTGTGTTCTGGGAATTGATATGGGTTTGTGTGAAATTCCAATGGTGCCCCGATAAGATTCCCATGGATCATCATCCCCCTTTCGAATGGCTATTTCTGGGTATCCCCTCCAGACGGATCGTTTATTTCATGGAACATCCCTATAAATGGATGACTGGGGGGTAGCTCCATTTTAGGACACATAAATGGATGTATCTAATCATCAAATTTTAAATTTAAATGGATGTATCGAATCATAAATGGATGTATCTAATCATAAATGGATTAATTCTAAATGGATGTATCTAATCATCCATTGGAACATGTTATTTTCCATGAAATAAACCATCACTATATAACCATAATGGTTAACCATCATATTAACCATTATGAACACTATATTAACCACATATTAACCAGAAAAAAAATCATCCAGCCATGGGGCTAGCCCTATGGATCTGATGGATCCGGCTCCAGGCTGAGGCCATAGCAGCGGAGATCCCAGACCCGGAGGAATGGACGCCGCCCGAAGAGGACGAACATCTGGTCCGAAAAGCCGAGAACAGATGTGTATAGATGTGTATAGGATGAAAGTCAGTTGGGATGATTATTCCCAATATATGGAAAAAAAAAAGTTCCAAACCACCAACCAGCTACCCTCTGGTAAACTAACAAAAAGCTATGGAAAATCACCATTTTCAATAGGTAAATCCACTATAAATTGTCATTTTCAATAGCTATGTTAGTCATAACCAGAGGGTAGATGTGTTGTTAGGGTCGAGAAATCTCGGATTCCAGACTTTTGAACAGACTTTTTTTTTGGGAATCAGTTGGTTATTCTTTATCTAGCCATTTTCACTTCACACTTCACACTGGTAACTGCAGTGTTGGGAGCAACCCTCTTTATGGAAATTGAGGGTGCTGGTAATACCGGGCCAAGGGCGCTCAGACTGACTTACAGTAGTGACTGACTGCTGATTTGGCATTTCTTAGCCTCCAAAAACATCCCAAAACTGGGTAGATCCAATGTTTCTCCGAAATTTTCGGTAGATTCACAGCATCCAATCTGGTTTCAACCCATCCAAATCGTTTCAGGACCCCGATGATCCAGCTGCGGAGCCTGAAGAACGGCCCATCATCCAGTGGGGCACTTGCGGCCCTTACTGCCCCCTGGCCATTGAAACCCGGAGAGATCGGGGCCATCGATGGCTTGGAGGGGATCCAGGGTCCAAAAAAAGATTTCGAATCACCTGAGTCACTATCTCACTATCTTAAGAACTTTTCCATATCTTTTCCATATCTTTTCCATCTCTTTTCCACTCATCCAGTGGTTAATGACCAGCATGGTAGCCATTATAGACCATATACCTAATGGTTGGGTGATGTTCAATGGGGACATTTAATGACCCCTGTTAATGACAAGCATTTCTTTGATCCTTTTGCACTTCTCCAGAAGAACCTGTCAGCTCTGGTGAGGTCCTGTGACTCTCAAGGCGCAACGTACGGGAGCCCAGGATCTCTCGGGGTGACCGTTTCCGAAACGAATGATACCCTCTGGTAATTTAACATAGCTATTGAAAATGACAATTTATAGTGGTTTTCCCATTAAAAATGGTGATTTTCCATAGTTATGTTAAATTACCAGAGGGTATAGGTTGTCACCATTGATATGGCTTGCTGGCTTACCATTTCCAGTTGATTGCTGTCATTAGCTGAATCATTAGCTGTCCAGTTTCAATTTCATGACACTTTTTGGGGCAAACCACGCCAGAAGCATCGGAAAAACCGATGGTGATTCCCAGGCTGGCTGTACCCAGGCCAAAAGGAGCGAAATGCTGGGATGGGCTGGGAAGCTTCAAAGGTTTGGATCCAACTGGGAAAATTGGGGAAATCTTTGAGAACAAACGATTTGAATCCTGACTTTGAGGTGAACGTGAACACATTCTATTCCACAGATTTACCCTGGCAGCTGGCCCTTTTGTGGGCTGGTTCAAGTGGACAAGCAAAGCAACAGGAAGTCGCTGGAATCCAAATCGAGTCGCAATCGAGTCGCTGGAGCTTTGAAGAAATTTTTCTTTGCCAGTGATTCATGGCTTGGACATTGAAGGAATTGGGTATGGATCAATACCTATTAATACCATTTTTAATGGGTTATTCACATCCATAAATCCCAGCTATTTTGGGGTTCACCAGGGGTACCAGGGTTTTGACCCATCCCCAATTCTGAACACTCCAATTTTGTAGGGGCCCAATGGGGCTGAATGGGGCCCAATGAGTCCCGGAATCGTCCCATTCAGCAGGACTTCCAACACGTCTACCGCAACGTTGTCTTTGCGCTGGGCAATGAAAGGGCCAGCGAGGCAATGGAGGGGATTGAAGCAACGATTGGGGGGATATTTGAACCAGAAAGTAGCTGGTTGGTGGTTTGGAAATGTTTGGAACATTTTTTATGACTTTCCATATTGGGAATCATCATCCCAACTGGCTTTCACATTTTTCAGAGGGGTAGGTATACCACCAACCAGGTAGGATTTGAGCAGCACGAAATGGGATTTAACTTGACCAACGATCGAGACCATGGTGGATTTGAGCAACGAAATTCGATGGATTTCAGAGGCAAATCTGAGGATAGTGGCTCGGAATTTGACAGCCGAACGTGGGGATTTAGTCAGCAACCATAGGGCCACAGGGGATTTCACACACAAAACGTAGGGATTGAACGTAGGGTACAAAAACACAGACCAGTGGTGCCACCCATTGCCATCGTGCCGTCGCACTCTGGGAGGCCTTTGTGAAGGAACCTGCCGCCTACGTCCAGACGGAACCTGCACCTTGGACTTTGAAGGACAGGTCTGACAGGTCGTTTTTTCATGTTTTTTCTCTGTTTTCTGATGAGGTTTCAATGGCACCTGGCGCTGTATGAGGTTTGTACCTCACTAGAATCGAAGTTTGGTGACAGCGACTCTCCATGGGTTCATGCATCGATGCAATCTGACCCTCTGAGAGGGTATTGCAATCGGTAGAACAGGTAGACTTTCAGCGGTATCTCCGATTTCGGAAACCTTTCAACTTTGTTAAACACCATATTTTTCTTGGGAACATGCTTGTCGGCTTTGACGAATTTCCGGCCTGTGTGTTAAGTTAGAGAAACATCTAAAACACACACACACAGCAGTCGAGCCGCAATTATCCCTGCTATTGGTGTTTGACAATTATCAGATACTGAATACTAAACTATAACATACTAATACTAATCTAATACTAAACTATAACATGACTATATCTATATTAAAATGACACCTTTGAGAATGATCTACACACCAAAAAGTTCGTATCTGATCCCGCCATCCTGAGGCCCTGCCGCCTCCCCGGATTCTGGTCACGGGACCCACGGGCTCGGGCGTGGCCCGACAGTGCGAGATGCTGGGCGAGGCCCGGGAAGTGGGGGACGCCGCTAAGCCCAAGTTCTCATCCAAGTTTTTGGGTGATTTTGTGAAAGCGATGGTCTGCTAACCTCCAATTCCGGAAAGACTGGTTGTGTTTTTTTTTTTGTGATATGAAACCTTGATGAAACAAGAGTTTTGAATGTTGAAAACCACGGTTACCCTCTGGTAAACTAACATAACTATTGAAAATGGCCATTTATAGTTGATTTACCCACTAAAAATGGTGATTTTCAATAGCTATGTTAAATTACCAGAGGGTATCAGCCATTGTCTGAGTTTTGAGTCTCTGATAAAAAAACCTTGGTTGGATGATCGAACATCCCACGGTGGTTTTTTCACAGTTACAATGGTGGCCCCCTTGTGGCCCGTCTCTGGAGACGTTACTTCGATGTTCATCCCGGATTGCCATGAATAAATCGATCAAAGATGGCTAGGTGAAACCAAGAGCCATGTGGCCATCCAGAACGGTGGTTAGCGGTCTGGCGAGTCTGGCATGGCTTTTCCATAGTTTTCCTTTGGACCGAAGAGTACCCATATACAAATGCATGGTGATCACCTGCATGAAAACAGTGATCTAATATCAAAGCTGGATGAACACATCCTGACTATTAATTGGAGGGGTTACCAATTTACTTACTTTCAAAATTGGTACCCCCACTAATTATTAGTAAACCAGGGGGGGTTATCATTCCTATCTCAACATCTATAGTCTATACAGTAGTCTATATCATGCCTATAATTCCTTGAACCGCTATAGTAGTGATTGGATGAACATACGGCACTGGGCTGGTAGGTCTACAAGATTCCAGTCCTCAAACTCGAAGAAGTCTGGAGGACGCGGCGTTTCGCTGTCGCGGTTGCTGTCTGGTCATTTCCACCGATCTCATGGTTTTTCAGCAGGAGCAAGGTGGAGAAGCGTTTGATGCAAGTCAAGGAGGCACATTTACGGCGCAGAGTGGAACTGTCAAACCGGACATGGTTATCATGGTTACACGGTCCTATTTGATACTGCTGTGCATAGCCCCTTTAAAATGACCATGGTCAGAGCAAAACTGATGATTAACATGATTAACCAACAGGTTCAGCTGTCCGACTGCCCTATTTTTTGGGACAAGTCCACATCAAGAAGTTCGTCCGGCGTTTCAACCATCAGCTGATCAAGCCGTGACTGTCGGTCAAATATCACCTTCCGGCACCCCCAAATAACATGGTGGAGCAGTTAACCATGATTAACCATCATTAAGCATCAAGCATCACTGTTTCAGTGAGCGGTGGCCAGGCTCGCAAAGCGGCGCAGAAGAAGGAAGCGCTGGAGCAGAGCATGTTGGAGGACCGATGTGAATGCCCCTAACTTCTTCGGCATCCTACTGATCTAGCCGGTCATGATTTTTTTTTGTTAAAGCCATGGGGGATTCCAAAGTCATTTTAAGTTACTGGTCATATTAGGAAGAAAACCAATGGTTTGGGGCGGGATACCCCAATTTTCAGAAACACCCAAATGGATAGATAACATTAGATAACTATAGTTAGCCTGCAGGAAAATAGGTTTAAAGCGACCACACTTGTGACAGTGACCTACCAGATATTTTCATGGGGTTACAGCTGCCCTAGCTTGCGTGGGTTCATTGACTGAAGTTGAGTTGGGTTTTGAGACAACAGTTCTATGATTAATGTCAACGGCGGATCAATAAACCATGGACCATGGTTTATAAATTAGGGGGGTACTCCCCAAATAGTGATAATCTGATACTTAAATAGTACCCCAATTGAACAGCCTAGGGCTACTAGGGGTTTATTAATCCAGGGTTGACAAATCATTGATGGACCTGGCCGGCAACAATCATCCCTATAAATCAACCACAAAAGGGGGCCAGGATAGCCATATGTATATATATATAATCACACAAATACCCACCATATCCTACTATGATCTTTCCAGTGATTAGGAGGAAGCGGTTTATGGTCGTATCATCATGTATCCATGTTCCCATTTGGGGAGACAAGGAGCGATGATGATCCCATTTGACCTCAACTACTTTCCTATTTTTCAGCGGGGTGGATGAACCACCAAGCGTTGTATAAAGTATAGCTATCTCCTATAGATGTATCCCCATGATGGAAAATCCCTATTCTATTATTCTATCCCATGAATTTCCATTCATTGATCCCATTTTTCCATTCATCATTGCTGGTTTGTATCCCCTGGTTGCACCCCCTTTTTGAATACTGGACTATCCCGGCGTTGAGTCTCCCATTGACCTCCACCACAGGACGACAAGCCCTTGTTTCCAGAGGGTTGGATGCCGCCCGAAGAGGCGGAGCCGGCGGAGCCCCAACGGATAGCGGGGATGGATGGCAATTGGAACCACTACAGGATGGGGCCCCCAAGATAGCGTTCAGTTGGTTTATAAGTGGCTGAATTCTATGGTTTATGTGTGGTTAATGGGTTTATAAACCAACTTATAACTGGGGGGCCCCATCCTGTAGAGGTAACTTGGGGATTAATTACTATAGGGATATGGTTTTACTAGGGATTCCTAGGGATATGGCCAGCCTAATTTAGTGGTAGACCATATGGTGACTTGGGGATCCCCTTTTTCAGAAACCCCAGAAATGGCGATATCTTGATATGTTATCATCTACCAATCTCAGCGATTTTGTCTTCCAACGGCTTGGTGGAATCAAATCAATATCTAATTCAACCATTGAAGAACATATCATCTACCATATCTGATACAAAGATTCGTCTTCCATAGATAATAGATAATCTATATCCATGGATAATCCATATGGCTATGGATCAATACCTATTAATACCATTTTTAGGGGGTTATTCACATCCATTTTAACCCAGCTATCTCTATTTTTCATCCGTTTTTTGTCTTCACCCTTAAAATGTTTCACCTTTTACGAGTCGTTGGTCACGACTCGGTCCACTGGTCCACTGGTTGATCATCCTTTTGTATGGTTTCTGCCCACAAACCTATCAACCCTATACAGAGGTATCGATAAAAAAAAGGTCATTGTAAGCAGTTTGTAACCAGTTATGACCAGCATCGAGGTCATTGATGGAACATTTTAGACCAGCTATAGAAACATAACAAGAGCAACACCGTGTTCATCAATCCATTAGTAGACATACCCTCTGGTAAACAGCCACATAACTATGGAACATCATCATTTTTCATGGGAAAACTCACTATTTCAATGGTGATTTCCCATGGCAAACTATTAAATAACCAGAGGGTATTTCCATTATGTTTGGATTCCTGGAGGATCATACTCCATATTTGGGTATGGGTCAATACCTATATGTAGATACATTTTTAGTGGGATGAACATCCATTTACCAGCTATTTTGATGTAAACCAGGGGTACAAGGTTTTGACACACTGCCATGTTTGGATTCCTGGAAGATCATACTCCATATTTGGATTCCTACGTGTGTGACGATGACCCCCTGGGACAACTTGCATCAACTTGTGACATACAACTGGTTGGCTGGTGACTGGAACATGGGGATATAACATGGGGATATTTCATGGGATATCTAAACAACTATAGTATAGTTATATAACATTATATTATATAGTTAAATATATACTGGTTGGTGGTTTGGAACCATGGAATTTTGAATGACTTTCCCATCATATTGCTAAGTTCGTAACCCCAACTGACGAGTTGTCCATCATTTTTCGGGTAGGTCAACCACCAACCAGATGATTATTAACCATCATTAACCATATAATAATAACCATCATCATTAGCCATTATTAACACGATATTAACCACATTAACTAACCACCAGACAACATGTTCCCCCCAAAGATATGCGAACTGGGCCCCTACTCACCCTACAGCTGAGACTCCGGACCGGCTCCAGGTGCCTGAGGATGCAGAGGATCCAGCTGATCAGGTGGGGGACGTTCCAAACGATCGCACTGTGTATCGGACTTTTCCAGTAGACTAGTACATTAGTGACAGTGACTCTACATGTATATGATGTATTTATATATATATATCTAATCATGTCGATTGATGTATCCAGTCATATATACATATTGTATATATATATAGATCTAATTATGTAGTATACATAGATCAGATATACACACATGTCAAAATCACTAGGGACAATATTTAGATACACAGACAAGTATCAACAGTGTAGGTCCATTATATAAAAAATACATGCAGAGGCAGACACGACCATCATATGCGCGCCGCATGGTTTGAACCTGTGAAATTGATTGGAAAGGTATGGGACGGTGCAAACTCCACCAATTCTTGATTGGATTTTGGCAGTCTCTTTTGTAAGATACCAAGTGCCAACTGACCAATCAATGGACACCATGCTGGATTTACTCCCAA